ATTTCTGAGTGTTTATGTGCTGCAGAACAGGAACCTGCTGTAAAACAGCAATTATGCTGAGTCAGGCTTGATTTTTAATAATCTTTTCCTGTTAAATAAATAAGTCAAATCAAATCAAATCAATTGCTTGAAAAACGTGCTGAAGTGGGAGTGTCTGAAATGGTAGGAGGTTCCTAAAGGAACAGAGGACAATTTCAAGGTGTTTCGATAGGCAGTGATGCAAAGTCAATTTTATTTTTGATATATACAGCGTTTTTGCAACAACTGAAGGCAACATGATTGTGGTATAGAACTGAACTATGTGCCTGCAAAATAAATAAAAACCTCCCCTTTAAACTTCATTGGACTTTCTAAAGCGGTTAAAGATAAATTGTACCCTTCGGTATCGTTCAGACACTCCTTTCCTGCTCAGCTCGTCCATCAACGACGGGAGGATGCTGCTGCTGTGGCGTTCGTATCTCAAAGCGTAGAGCATGACGAGACGGACGGCGTCCAGCTCCGTAACGCGAGGGTTCTGCAGCAGCCGTCGGACATTCTGAGAAAACACCACACCGGTTTCTTGTAGCTCCTGACAGGTTTACGTATTTTTTTTAAAGCTTCTTTTCTGTTCACTGCTGCTCTTTAAAGCAAAACACGTATTTAAGAAGTAAAATCAGCCTTGGCGATATGAAAGAGCCAACCTGCTGAGCGTTGGAGTGGTCGTTCTGACAGGCCAGGTCCTGCTCCACCTCCGACACCTCCATGAGCTGCCGCTCCGACACCAGCCGGGACAGCTCCCCCACCACCGTCACGTGTTTGGACACGGTGCCCGACATCTTCTTAAACTGAGGGTAGTTGTCTACAAACGCCTGCAGGGACGACAGCGGGCAGTCAAACACCGTAAACGTTGTTTAGGACTGAAGATGATGTCACCGCTCCCAGATTGACCCCAAACCTTCATGTCAGCGATGGACTCCAGCTTCTGTTGCCCTTTCGGCTTCTTTTTCTGAAAATCCTCCATCAGGTTCTTTATGTTGGTGCCGATCTCCCCGAAATTCAGATACAAGTTCTAATATTGAGAAAGGAAAACAAAAGGCGAGTTATTTTATTAAACATGTCCGAGTAGGTTTCYTGTTTGAACAATAAGCAAAATAACAGGGTTCATGTGTGTTTCAGTAAGTTAAATTTAAAGGGATCCCCGATTAGTTGTAACATTAGACTTTATTTCATATACATATATTTTAACTGTAAAATAAAGACTGTAAAAATTCTGTGGGCTGTTTAGTTTTATCATTTTTAAACCAAAAATTTAAGAATATATTTTAACACGGACGGGATCATTTTATTTGCACGCAAAGCATTCTGGGTAAACGATGACATGGATAGGTCCTCGGCGCGAGGCTGCTAGTGAGCTATATCCACCCTGAAGGTTAATCTTGGACAATATCTGATGATCGACTCTTAAATGAAACCAGAGAGCGTTGACAGAGAGGAGAAGGTAGAAATGATTCAGACTGTAACTGAAAATATGGATGGAGGACAACAGTTTAGATTGTTAGCTTTAGCGTTAGCGCCAACACTATGGCTGTGTCCAAAACGGCAGGCCGGGTCCTCCGAAGACCGAATTTGTCGGCCTCATACGTCACAGCACCGCGACGAAGGATGTCCAAAAC